TGTACGCTGCGGCGAGGCCGGTCGCCTGGGTTACTGGTCCGACACGGTGTTTTGATACCTCCGGTGTGCGGGACGGACAGGTAACGACTCAGTCAATTCATGAGCTGGTCAGCGGGATGCCGGTGTGTCCCCCACCCCCCGGCCCGCTGTCACTGGAATGCATGGTTGAGAGGCAGCGTGGTCTATTTTACTCGGCCGCGCGGGCCGTGGCCCGAGTTGTCACAGGACGCCAAGGCGGCGGTATGAGCCTTGAGCGCCGGCGACGCGGCTGTTCCCGGAGCCTTGCCGCGGCCCCTTTAATACTACGCACCGAGGCCCGGCGGCAGGGCAGGCGGCCGTCGCCTGGCGCTGCTGCCCCGCGGACGAGCTGTGTGCCCCAGCCGCGCACGTTCCTGTCTATCTGAGGTGCGTCTCAGCGGCGGCTTGTGAGCAGTGGGCGCAGGGAGGCGCGTGCGGCGGTGGCGGCGCGGCGTGTAGGCTGACGTCGGCACGGCAACGCCGTCGGCCGCTCTGGGCGGCGGCATGCGCCCGCTCTGGTTTTTTTTTTTTTGTCTCGGCGGTGGCGTGGACGGTGCTCCGGTGACGCAGCGGCTCTCACCGCGCTCCCATCAGGGGTGACGGTGTCGTCTGCCGAGGTCGTCTGTCACGCCGTTCCGGCGCGGCTCTCTCGCCGTTGAGCGGCGTGTCAGCGCTCCCGCCGCGCGGCCGGGTCCGGTGGCTCCGCTCGTCGGGCTGGGGTCGGGCCCTGACCGGTGATCTATGACCGCCTGCAAGTAACACCAGCCATCCGTCAGCCCAACTGACGCGGCCGGCAAATATGGCGCGACTTGATGGCGCTCCACGTCTGTAGCCGGTGCCCCATTGCCGACCGCGGGGTCGGTGTCGGGCGACCGTCCTTCCCCATATCTGGGGCACGTCGGGGGCCCCATATCTGGCACCCGACGTGCCCCACTTCTACTGATGGCCGCCAGCGACGACGTCGTCTGCGATGCGTGCTTTGGTTTGATCTGTGCAGATCTGCGCGGCCGGCTCTGACCGGCGGCCGGCTGAACGGCGTGCCCTATGGCGCCTTTCGCGGCGCACTCGTAGTTCAGCGGCGTGGAACTGCTACCGAGCATCCGTCGGTGCAACGACGACCGCCCGTCTCATACATCGTACGCGCCGGCGCACGTGGCGCACGTGACGTGCAGGACCATTGTGCGACACCCGCCCGCTGTCATCTGCTGTCAATGGCGTGATGGGGACGTGCCACGGTCCGGCCGACGTGTGAGCACGGCATGGCGCGTGAAGAGGGCGCCATTCGTCGCGGCTGGCGCCGTCTGCAGCCAGGACGGCCGCCGCCGCCGCCGCCGCCGCCGCCGACGACGACTCATGCATGTACCCGGTGGCCGTCCGATGTCTGGTGGGCGTGCGATGGCTGGGTGGGCGCCTGGTCGTGTTGGGGGGGGGGGGGGGGACACGCCCTCAGCTTCGCCGCGACGCTGGGGACACGCCCTCAGCTTCGCCGCGACGGTGGCGATACGCGGTCGTTAGCGCCTGTGGCAATGCGCGGTCATGGCCGCCCGCCGGGTCAATACTGTTGTATCGCCAAAAATGGCGCAGGATAACCCACGGGGTCACTTATCATCAACATAGTTTGGAACGCGACAAGTAGGCTCGCTCTGCTAGCCAGGTGATGTCCACTAAGCATTACCACATTCACTAGTCTTCCGGATCTTGCTGCCAAAGTTACACTCTACGCCATTACAACAAATCAAAAATGTTCGGAAGGGCTTCATGTCGCCAGATCGGTCACCTTTTGGCGAAATGGGCCGAATGATTTTGCTTTCAGAAAGCTTGGATGGGCGGAAACCCAACACCATTCATAGGTTGTGATAAGATTATCATCACGTGTATCCTGCTCATTTGTCACGTTTAAGCAAGGTAACGTTGCATTGTGTGGCTCCTTGGTCCCGTGCATGGCAGGGTAGTATTTCTTTATCCGTTTTACTTGGTCCGTGCCAGGTAAGATAAGCGCAGGTGAGCGTATGCACACATATAACCGCGATCAGTCACCACGGGTGCGGTTTCTCAGTTCAGTTTGGGACGCTCCATCCTCCCAGCATGGGCCAAATTTGGGGGGAAACCCGTTTTGGGCGTGTTTGGTTAGGTCTAGCTATTTTCTACTTCAGCCCGCAGCTTCTTTTGCGAAACTACGCCCCTGCAAGTGGCACACCAACATTAAACATAAACGCGCGCGTATATCGTGTGGAATTAGTTTGGAGACGAGAAGAGAATCTAGCGAAGATCATCACGACTGAATGCATACCGGAAGCCCGTATTTTTCCACATTTTCCGGTGTACTCCCTGGCGTCATGGAAAAGCTGCTGAACAGCATTCACTGTCACTGACGTGGTGCATCCGCAGACTTGGATCTCGGTTTGGGCGCGCGTGCGATCTTACAGGAGGTGGCATGTTGACCAGTCTAGAGGCAGCCACCCCGGTAGTGGGACGAGTGGCCCTGCTGGGGCGCCTCAGGCTGGCGCGCTGGGCCTCAGTCCGGCCGCCCCGGCAGTGGGCGTGTGGTTCTGCCGGGGCACCTCAGGCTGGCGGGCGGTGCCTCGTTCCGGCGTGCTGTCACGTGCAGGCTGCGCCGCCGCCATCCGTGTCCTGCGGACCCGGCCCGAGCCGAGTCGGGTCACCGGCCTGGCCGTGATGCGTCGGCCGGCGGCCGAATGATCGGGGATGGGATGTCAACAGTGCTTTCCACACGGTGTCACTGGATCAGATTTAGACTGAGTGGTGCTGCGGCCAGTGGTAATTGAGCGGCGGACGTGCTGGCTGGTTGGGGTTGACACGCGCGGCGTGACCTTCTGCCGTGCAGTGATGTGGAACATGACGCCTCTCCGCCGGCGTATGCAGCACTGGCGTGCCGAGCACCGCGATCTGCCAGCCTTGGACCATATGCTTAGTTTGCGTGCGGCTGTGCCTTTGGTTGAAGGGACGAAGGGAATGGAGTAAGGCGGGGTTCCCCGTGCTGCATTTACCTTAGCGGGTGAAAATTGCGGGTTTTGAGTAAACTCCTGGTAAAAATGGGTCGAAACGGTCGTGGGAGAGTCATTATTTGCTTCATAGGAGTTTCTGCTGCCTGCATGCATGCATCCGTGAGGCAATGACATGTATGAGGCTCTAAATGGCGTTGGTACTAGTACCCACGTTCAGCCGTGGCGTGCAACGGAGGCAGACTTACTTGGCCTTCCCGCACAGGTGTCGTGCGCACTCACAAAACACACCCGACGTTCAATTATCCGAGTGGTGGTGCGCGCTCACGCTCACATTTGTGGATTGCATTATGGCGCACGGCTGGTGCGCCGGCTCCGTGCTCGAGTTCTCGAGCACGGCGGCAGTGCCCCACATCCCCGGCCTGCGTGGCGGGGCACGGACCCACTCGCCGACTGCGTGTGTTGTCTGCAGTCGAGCTGCTGTAGGATACTGGCCGGAGCTAACGAGGCAGAGGGAGAGAGAGCACAGCGACTTCTGGGAGGCCGGCAGCCGGGGCACTAACTACTCTGTAGATGTGCTGTTCACGGTGGTCGCCTCCCTGACCTCTCGGACGTGTGACGTTACAGCAAACCATGACATGCAAACGGCAATATGCGGCAATATTGGGCGCGTAAAAAGGGATTGTGCCGAGACCCGAGTTAGCCCCAGTGAGCTGGCGAACCGTCTCCCCGTAACCTGAGCCCGGGGCCGGCCTGTCTTGGCCGCTGCACACACGAGCCGAGCAGGGAGCTCGGCCCGGCCCAAGCGTGGGAGAGGAGCGCGTGGCGCGCCAGCGGCTCCACGCGCGCCCGTCTGGCTGCCAGCCGGCCGGCGGGCACGCCGCGCCTCGTCGCTCCCGCCCGGCGCTCAAGGCGGCTCGGCCGGCACACGACACTAGGGCATGGAGGCAACGACACCAGAGAGTCGGAAATCGCTGCTGAAACCCTCCCAATCACTTGCTGGAAAGCTCCGCCCTGACTTGAGCACATCATCCAAGGAATGGTACCTAGGAACCAAACACGATAGCGTTAACACGCGCACTTGAAGGTCTCTGAAAATCTTTTCGTTCTTGAATTTGGCTTATTCCATCACACCACCAAGATCCCAGAAATGATGGAAATTCTTAAGTTGGGATGGAATTCACATTTTAAAATTTGGTGATCCCAGGTCATTGTTTTGTCGGCCAAATCAAGTCAGATGTGTTCAAAATTTTGGTCAAGGCTCTAAAGGCCTCACTTGAGGGGGACCAACGTAGGTTATTCAGTATCTAAATGATTGATAGGTCACCACTGAAGCCACAGCACATTAGCGTTGGTTCGGGTTATTCAGTATCTAAATGATTGATAGGTCACCACTGAAGCCACAGCACATTAGCGTTGGTTCGGGCTATGCTGTATTACTGGTTTCGCCCACATTGCCATCGATTTCGCCCTGCCTTTGTCGTCCGGGCCCGCATGTTTGTAGGCCTCGATAGTTTCCCTAGCTTTTTACTGTTTTTTAAACGATACGCTGGTATGACATTTGAGGGCAACCGAAAATAATCTAATCCGCCTTTTTATTGACGTCTACTAGTCAAGATATATTTATGAATAGTCAAGCCAGCAAAAGATAAGACGGAATTGATCGGACTGAATGTCCTCAAAGCTCGAGGCATGGGACCGTGTTCTCTTCTGTCGGTTGCGGCCAGAGGAGCGTTGCATCATTTGTTGGCTGGGTGTGGGGAGCTGTTTGTGAGCGGAGCTCTGTCGCGTGCCCGCGCCCACTCGGTCAGCGCCCAGTTGGCGCTAATTATACATCTGGCCGCCGGAGATGGATATCGGACCGCGTCTTCGACCGGCTGCCGCCGCCGGCCCACCGACCGGCCGGCCGTGGCCCGGCCCGGGACGGGGCTGGCGGTGGCTGGCACGGGATGATCCCGACCCCGGTGACTGGCCCCCTCGCCTCATCCGGCATGTGACCTTCCGTCGTCTGCCCCGCAGGTGCCAAGAGAGACGGCGACGACGATGAGGTGGACAGAATGGCGGTAAGTTGCGCCGCCGCTCTGCTCCCACTGGCCGATCCTGCCCAGCTCCCGCAGGCTCTGCATGGGTGCCTTAGTCGAGTCCGCTCATTACCATGTAAATGCGCGCCGGGTTTGGTGGGCCGGCCGCGCCCGATTTGGTCGCTGGCCGCAGGTGATCAAGACTGGCGGCCGCTCCCCTGTGCCTGCCGGTGACAGGGGCTGTCCTGTGGTCAGTGTCCATTGCGGGCGCGCTGACAGCTGTGGCTGGCCGATAGCGGATGGGACGCCGGGACGCTGTGGAGGACGCCGTCTAGCTGCATATAAATACTTGCTGTAGCGACCCAGGAGCGCTGTTGGATGGACTGGCACCGAAGCTGGTTGTCTTGAGCAGTCCTGGCTGCCCCCCGGCAGTGGTGGTACAGTTCGCCTGTCTCCTGATGCTGGCGCCACCGAGCGCAGTGGAACGACATGACACAACGCAACCATTACGGCCGGAGCACGGACGGACGCGGAGCGGAGCACGGACGCGGGCGGCCATGCTTTGAGTCTGTCTGTCCTTGCTCCCCGTGTCCTCGTGCTGTGATGGGCGACGGCGCGGACGGAGCCGAGCGCCGCTGGAGTGGCGCCGCTGCGTTCCTGCAGGCTAGGCATGTTTCACGCCGCTGCGTGCCGCCGTCGCTCCGGCGTTTGACGCTGTCGAGCCGGTGGGTCCGGGTGGCCGGTGGGCGTCGGGCCGTCTCCTTGCCTTAGTAGCCGGACGGCCCGACGCGACCGCGCCGGTCGTGCCGTGCCGTTAAGCCACCGCGGGCTTGTTTGCAATCGGCTGGCGTCGGGGCGTTTGGTCTGCCTGAGCTCGGCGTGCGGCCTGGCCGCGGCCCCGGGCCGATTGTGTAGCCGTCCTTGACCGGTGGCCTGGTCAGCGGGTCTGGTCTGGTGGCCTGGTCAGCGGGTCCGGCGCTCCGTCGGCGCCGGGACCACCCCGGCGGGGCGACCGGTCGACCTCCTCACGGGCACGCTGTGCTCTGTTCCCTTTCATGCTTGCTAGAATAGCATACCTACTAGAGATAATTCATTGTCCCCCTGGTAAGTTAATGTTCTAGGATATGCATGGGAGCCCCCGCGTGCTGCAGAAGTGTGACTGGTCCAGCGCTGTGTCGCCGTCACTGCTGCCTCCGGTTGGCGTGTATCTGTCGTAAACGCTCGCCAGGCCGACGCTGAGCAGCAGCGACTGCGGGTCTGAGGAGCTCCGTACCGGCTGGGCGCGCCCGGGTCGTCGCCGGCGGTCGCTGGTGCCCAGGCACCGTTGCTGGCCGCTGCGTCTCACTGGTGACCTCTCGGCGGGCCGGGCCCGGCCGCCTCGGCCCGCTGTTGTGTGGCCGGCTGTTTGTTTGCGTGTGGAGGCGTGCGTGTGTGCGCCGGCGGTGAGGGAGGTACTTCATGTCCGGCGTGCAGCTGGAGAAAGTGGTCAGCGCACCGCCCTCGTCCCTTCTCTCTCACCGTGATGCGAACACGCTCGTGAGTTTGTCACGCTGTGTGCGCCTTCTCCTTTTCTTCGCTGCTGTTGTGCGTCTGGGCGTGCATCTCCATGTCCGCGACTTTCTTTGGCAATCCTCTCTGTCTTTGTCTCTTTGCTCCGTTCCTGTTGTCCATTCCACTCGCTAGTCAGCAGATCTGTCGGGCTCCGCTGTCGCACATTCTATGCGTTCTCGGCCACGTGTTTTCCAACGCTCCCACACAGTCAGGGTCGAGGCGACTGGCGCTGGAGCGACGTGACACGGCCCTCGGTTGACACTGCCACCATCTGACAGCCTGCGCTTGGCCCGTTACCACCGCTCGGAGCCGCCACCTGAGCTGGCGCAGCCGATGACGCGGCCTCCAATCGAGCTGTGCCCACGCGGTTTGAAGGGCTCGTTGTTTGTCGCACCCGTGGCGTTCCGCAGCTGACGCGGCCTCCAAGCGAGCTGTGCCCACGCGGTTTGAATGGTTCGTTGTTTGCCGCACCCGTGGCGTTCCGCAGCTGATGACGCGGCGTCCAAGCGGGCTGTGCCCACGCGGTTTGAAGGGCCCGCTGTTTGCCGCACCCGTGGCGTTCCGCAGCTGATGACGCGGCGTCCAAGCGGGCTGTGCCCACGCGGTTTGAAGGGCCCGTTGTTTGCCGCACCCGTGGCGTTCCGCAGCTGATGACGCGGCGTCCAAGCGGGCTGTGCCCACGCGGTTTGAAGGGCCCGTTGTTTGCCGCACCCGTGGCGTTCGGACAGTGTCGACCGATTCGCCAGAACAATGCATTGCCTCCACTTTAACATGGCGGGTCGTTCGATGTTGTCTTCGAATCGCTGTAAGAATATTTGATCAGGATTGGATGCAGCGTGTGCGAGTGCATTTATATATTTCGCGAAACGGATATTGTACAGACGCGGTGTCCGTCGGATCATGCCATGTGGTGGGCACTGGTTTTTCCTAGACGGTGTTGGAATATGAGTTGTGCGGGATGTTCGGTTCGTCCTCTGAATGAGCTCCGTTCGATTGTGTGAGCACTGTACGGACAAAGCCGTGCGGTTGAGAGTGCAAGGTCATGCAGGTGGTGTTTCACTGTTGCCGATTGCAATCGTCGATAACCCGTGCATCAGTTGACGCTGTAAACTAATGCCCGCCTCGTGCACGACCGGCGCTTGTGTGCCGCCGCGCCGTGACCCGACCTGATCGGCCGTGTGACTGGGCCGGACTTCTCTCTGTCCGCAGACCAAGTCGGTGGCGCCGCGGACGTCCAGCGCGCCGCCCAGCCGCCGCGCCCCCCAGAAAGCGGCCGGAGCCAACGGCACGCTGCCCGGCGGCGGTACCAGTGAGTGAGAACCGTCCCGGCCCGGCCCGGCCCGGCATCAGCACAGCTCGGCCACGTGTGCGCGATGGACGGGGTCTGCTCTCGCCTGCTGTGAGGGGGGACGCCACCCGCAGACCACTGCGCCATCTGCGACTCCGCTGGGTCGTCTGACGTGTCCGCCTTCGCTGTAACATGCATGCCGCTGCTGGTCTACTACTCTGCGGAGTCACTCACTGTCTCGGCTGCTGCTAGCATGCTTCGCTTGTTCTCTACTGCGCTGTTAAGTGTCAGCTGCAGATGTCTGTCGGCTTTACTTTCCTTCTGTTCGTACGGTGACTGAATGACCGCGGCCGTCTCGTTGCCACCGCAGGCTGCCACACATTCGCGGCAGCTCAGTCGGCCCAGGCTGTTGTCGTCTCTGCCGCGCTTTGTAGCGTATTTCAGAGGCGGCGGCCGCAACGCTGGCGCTGGCGCTTGACCTTACTCCGCCGTTCACCTCTCGCCACCCGTATTTTTCGTTCACCTCTCGCCACCTGTATTCTGCATTGCTGCCGCAATGTGGCCGTGCAGGCGGCAGCGTCGGAGCGCGCGCCGGGCCGCGGCCGGCGGAGGTGCAGCCCCTTCTGCCTCGCCGCCGTGTCGGGACAGCGGCCGGACGCACGGCGGCCGGGCCCCGGTGTGGACGGCGGAGCACGCCAGAACGTGTCGAAGTCAGTGCAAAACTCGCGCATCGCCACGGACACGTCTGGCATGTGGTGTATTGGTAGAGAGGTGACCCTGCTCTAGCTGTCTGGCTGACTTCTTTGCTGTGACTTTAGTTTTCTGTGGAGTAGGATATGAGGCACGGGAAGAAAAAGCGGGCGAATCTTCGGCATTCTTCGTCGTGTTTGGAAGAGACGAGACAAAAGCAAACGGAAAAAGAAGAAAGTGACCAAAATGTTCACGATTACCGCGGGTGTTGGACTGGCAGCTTCACGCGTATGCCAGTTTGTCGCGGGTGTTATTAAGCTGTCCTGCGGTTGATCGCAGTTCAACGCGCACTGGCCCGAAAGGTGTTGGCACATTGGCTCGTTTCCCTGCCTTCTCTCCCATCTCTGTATGCATTCAACGCACCGCGTATCAGCAGCAGCCTCATCCTACAACACTGCAATCAACAACAGGCCTGTGGAGCACTTTGCTAGCTTTTCTGTGTCACCTTTGCGGTTTAAAGTCTTTCTAAGATGCTGTTCGTAAGATTATTCGTCTCAAGTTGAGTCTTTTTTTCAAGATTGCCTGAGACCGGCGATATAAATAGTTGGCGAGAGGTGTACGGCCGGGCTCTGACCACCTGAGCCGGCTGCAGCGCGGCGCGGCGCGCTGCGGTCTGCCGTCGCGCCCGTGAGACGCAGCGGCCCGCTCGACAGTGGCGGCGCGGTCCAGTGTCGTGATCCAACAGTGGCGGCGCGGTCCAGTGGCGTGATCCAACAGTGGCGGCGCGGTCCAGTGTCGTGATCCAACAGTGGCGGCGCGGTCCAGTGTCGTGATCCGACAATGGCGGCGCGGTCCAATGTCGTGATCCGACAGTGGCGGCGCGGTCCAGTGTCGTGATCCAACAGTGGCGGCGCGGTCCGGTGTCGTGATCCGACAGTGGCGGCGCGATCCAGCGTCGTGATCCAACAGTGGCGGCGCGGTCCAGTGTCGTGATACGACGCGCGGAAAGCGGGCCGCCGTCGGAACCGGGCGTGCCGAGGCCGACTGCTGGCTGCTGCACGCGCGCGGGGAGGGCGGAGCGCGCGGCGACCGGCTCCGTCACAGGCACCTGGCCGATGCAGGAGATGCCTCGGGACGCGGTCTCTCGGCGCGAGCGGCTGGCGCCCGCCTGGCCGGCCCTCAGAGGACCAGCCGCCGGGTCAGGCGGCGTCGGGCGGCGGCCGTCGTCCGCTGCAGATCCGCGCCAGATAAACGTCGGCCATCAGTGGTAACAAAGGCGGCTGGGGTGCGCGACCGGAGCCCAGTTAGTTTTTGCACGCACGCAGGGAGGAACAGGCGTGCGGTGGCGCCTGGCCGGCCGGCTGGCCGCGCCAGGTGAAGGGCTTCCGGGTCCTTCAGAGCTGCTGTCTCCAGTGGGGCATATACGACGGCGCCGCAGTCGGTCGCCGTACGGACGCCCCGGGATCGAGCGCCAGTTGGTCTCAGTACGCGCTCGTAAAGCCCCAAAACGCCATTGTCCGGCCGGGGCGTAGTTTGTTGGTGTGTAGAGGTCCGATTGTCCCTTATGTGAAGGCCCATCCGTTGGCTGCCTGAAGGGATAGTCGGTCGCCAGCTGGTGGCTTAGAAGCTTTCTGTACGAAAACCTATGCCATATTGTTTTTGCCAAATGGCGGCCTAGTCGGCGCGCCGGTGGGTCCGCATCTTGACAGACAGTCTCATCAGGGCTAGGGATCAACCATAGGACGGTGAGCCACCAGAGCGAGCTGCTTCACGCTGCCCCAGCTGGTGGCTGCCGTGGTGGTTTGGGCGGCCGTGTCGCTGGCTGGCGGCCCAGACGGCGGGGTGGCGGTGCGGCTGGCTGGCCAGGCCCGGCGTGGCGATGGGCCATCGGTCGGGGGCACGGCCAGCCGCTGCCGTCGCCGACCGGCACCGACCACCAAACTGGCGCTGGTGCGGACGTGCCCGGACGGCGGTGCCTGTGGCCAGGCCCGTTAGCCATCACCCAGTCACATGCTAGTCCTATTAGCGGTCGTCCACAAACCTTGGCAAACTACCACAAACTGCGGGTGCCCATCTTTGTCCCTTTTTCGACTCCCCATCCGGTTGTCCAATGATTACCCGGGGCGGAAAGGTTTCAGCATGATTTGTAACCACACCCGAACCTAGTGTAGCGCTGTCCATCGCTGTTACGCTGTTCGTCGCTTTGTTGCGCCTCGTTGGTGCTCCATCGAACCCCGTCGGCACTCCTTGCGTGTCGACTATTGACGGACGTGCGGTTCGCTGCCGCTGATGGGTGGTCCGCCCGCGCCGCAGAATAGGCCGCCGCTCTGCATGTGAGCGGGACTGCCGGTGTGCCCGTGCTTTGCCGCCAGCTGCTCCCGATGGCGTACTGGTACCGCAAAGTGGTGGCTAGTACAGCCTAGTTATGGTGTTTGCTCGCTGCTTGCACACCACGTGCGCTCTTTGAACACTTGACATGCGGAGATAAAGCCTCGCCATGCGAGTCCGCTCGCTTCGATGGCTTTTACTCTAGCGCCACACGAGATGGAGTGGATTCCGCCCGCTTCCATGGCAGCTTGGAGATCCATTGGCTGTGTTTACGTTTTACCCGGCGTTTCGCCATCTCGTTTTGCTGAACGTTTGATGTCCAGGACACTGCTGGTTTTCTCGGGTGAATGGACTCCTTTCTTCTGTCACTGGCACCAAATCATCGTTATTTGCGTGCTTCTGGAGCCACTACGCACGTTCACGTAGTTGGGCCTTGGTCATATCCTGCTTCGAGGTAACTATGGGATCCTATATGTGTATTTGCACAGTGCAAATACTTAAAAGACCGCTTACAGGTACACAGTGGAATCTCCCCTCGCTTTATTTTTAGTGCATAGTTTGTGGAATGCGTGCGTGTGAAGCACGCATAACGGACAATGCCGAGTTACTAGTGCAGCATCCTGGCTTTGGCTCAATTTATACATGACCTGGTGTTATCCAGGATTGGAATTTGTTTCAGAATGTGGAGAAAAAAACGCGTGTGTCAAAATTTCGACTTGGCACCTGTGTTCCGAAATTTTGGCGAGAAATGGTGGCGGCTTTGCTCCTGTAGCGCGAGCAGTAGCTGTGAGCCGACCTGTGCTCAAGCCCTCAGCTCCGAGGCTTGCCCCGGGATAGGCCCGAGAACCCGTTCTAGGTTCCGGTTCACTGCACAGCTGGCGCGGCACCAGTGGTCACTTGACTTGCGCCTGGTGCGCCCGCGAGGCCGGCCGTCCCCAGGGTGGGGCCTTGTCCCGCCAATTTAGCACACTGTCAACGCCTGCAGGCTGGACTATTCGTCTGGTGGGTAATGCTTGGAAAAGTCTGGGAGAGCGCTTCAGCTACAATACAACGGCCATGGCGGGCCCGTACTCAAACTTAGTGTATGTAAATTGCTCCATCAGCTCTCAGAGATTATACTTACTTATACTGCTCAATAGCTCGTATTCTGGGGCATACTGTGTGTGTGTGTGTGTTTGTGTGTGTGTGTGTGTGTGTGTGTGCGTGTGCGTGTGCGTGTGCGTGTGCGCGCGCGTGCGCGTGCGTGCGTGCGTGCGTGCGTGCGTGCGTGCGTGCGTGCGTGTGTGTGTATGTGTGTGTGTGTGTGTGTGTGTGTGTGTGTGTGTGTGCGTGTGTGTTTTGCCTATGTCGCAGATGGCCCACCCGTCCGTCGTTCACGCTGCTTGGTTCTAACCGTGCCGCCGGCTTCGCTGGGTAGCTCGCAGCCTCCGCCGCGCGCGTGTGGCCGGCGGCGATGGAAGGCAGCCCGCTGCCGCCGGCCTGTGTCTCCGCATGGCGCCGCCGGTACCGCTAACGGCCCCACTAACCCCCCTCCCCCTCTCCCTTGTCGCCGGGCGTGCAGATTCGCGGGTGCGAAGGGTGCCGTTGCTTGTCTCCGGAAAGTCGACCACCTCAGCTGCGCCCGCCACAGGTACGCGTGTCTTCAGGGCCCCTGGCCTCAGCTACGCCCGCCACAGGTACCGATGTCCCTAGTGCCCCCACCACCAGCCCCAGCTGCGTCTGCCACACGCACGGACGTCTGGAGTGCGGAGTTACAGGTGATATCGAGATATGGACGTTTTAAGTACGTCTCGGACGTATTGGCCGCATGTCTTCAGTACCCCCACCTCCTCCCAGCGGTGCCCGCTGCAAGCATGATCATCTGTGGTAGGTCCAGCGCGGCTATGTCAGGTGCACACGTCTGAAGCGCAACTGAGCTGCGTCCGCCACAGATGTGGACGTCTGGAGCGCCTGTCCCATCCCTGGTTATGTGGATGTCTTCAGTGCTGCCAGCCGTGTCCGCCCCAGTTGTGTGAGTCTGCAGCACGCTCAGCCGTGTCTGCCCCAGCCGTGGCCGACGGTGTGGCGAGCTGTTTGGACGGCTGGGCCCGTTTTCAGCGGCCGGCGCGATCGACGAGGCCATGTTCATCTCGGCGTTCGAGGACGTGCCCAAGGTGCAGATCTTCTCGCCCAAGGACCTGGAGGAGAACATGATCAAGATCCGGGACACGGTGAACCAGCCGTCCAATGCCTGGGACAAGCGCATCGAGGCCGTGAGTGGGGGCCTCCGCAGACCCTCGCGTCAGCTGGCGCACCGGGGCGGGACGGGGGGCTGCAAGGACACAGGTCCATCTCAAACATCGCTTTAGGCGATTTTAGGTGATCTTAAGCGATTGTGTTATAGTGGCAAGGATTGTGTGTGCCCGGTCCCGTCGTAAGAAGAAGTAGTGATGTTGTCTTTTTTTCATCGCGGTTTTTGCGATTTTTTTCAAGCGTTGGAGCGACGTTTTGCCGCATTGCCATCAGTACGCCATTTCTTTGATGAGATATGACCTGGCTGTGTTCATTTGGTCACAATTAGCAGCCGCTGCTGGCTGCCACCACTTGCCTGCTCCCAGCGTCATACTGAAGGATGACACGACTCAAGATGCCTCCTCCTCCTCCCATCCTGGCCGTGATCATGGGCTTGGTGGGCGCCGCGCTCGGTCGGCGTGGCCCGCAGCCAGCTGCCAGCCGGCGACGGTAGTGCAACTGCACCGTACCGCCTCCGCAAAGGTTAATTTTAGACTGCCGCCTCCGATCGACCCCACCGGCTTTGTACTCGGACACGAGCCATGTAGTGCCCACGAGGTACGCTGGACTCCCACAGAGAACGCTTTCCTTGGCTGAATAACTATAAGGGGGGGATTGGAGGGGTCACCACTTAGGGATTACGTGGGAGGGGGTCACCACTGACTGGTTACAGAAGCATGCTGTTTCACCGAGCACAGGTGCACGTAGCGCGCCAGAGAGAGCAGCGTGGCGCCGTCCACCCCGACCGCCGAGGATCGCCGACCGTCCCGGCTAGCAGCACGCCCTTCCTCACACTGACTGCCTGCCCTGTCAGCCCGAGCGGTGTCCTCACGTGGCCAGAGTACTGCACCTCACCGTCCTCGTGTTTTGTCCCATTTCTGTCGCCACTCCCGTGCTCTTCACTGTCATCGTGTGCCCTCTCCCCGTTCCCGTCGCTCTCCCTGTGTTCGTAGTCCTCTTCCGTCGTGGCTTTCCCGTGTCTGCTGTGTCCGTCGCCCTTCCCATGTGTGTCATCATCATGGCTGTCCCCCGTCCCCTGTCTGCCAATCGGCACGTGTCCGTCATCCTCGCGGTGACTGTCAGCCTCATGTCCAGTCGGCTCGTGTCCGTCATCCTCGCGGTGACTGTCAGCCTCATGTCCAGTCGGCTCGTGTCCGTCATCCTCGCGGTGACTGTCAGCCTCATGTCCAGTCGGCTCGTGTCCGTCATCCTCGCGGTGACTGTCAGCCTCATGCCCAGTCGGCTCGTGTCCGTCATCCTCGCGGCGACTGCCAGCCTCATGTTGGCCCTATTCGTTCCGGTGCCTGATACCCTCCTGGTCTTTGCCCTCGTTGTGTCCGTTTGGCACCCTCTCGTTGGTCACCCTCGTTAACGTTGCTGCCGTGGCGTGACGCCGTCCTCGTCTGGCGCTTGGAACGGCCGTCTTCCGTCCTCAGCTGAAGAAGCTGCGTGGCATCCTGATCTCGGGCGGCACCCGCTTCGACGAGCTGTACCAGCAGCTGCGCCTGATGGAGCCGGCGTTGCAGCTGACCGTGCAGGACCTCAGGTGGGGCTACCGCCCAGATCTTGCCGCGCTGGGCCGGACGTCGCACGCTCAGACTGTGCGCTTCACCTGCAGCTGCGCCGACTTCGGCTCCGGCCAGCAACTAGTTATTGATAGGGGCTCATTTCGGGTCGCTGGTCCGCCTTTGACCGGCCGCTGGCTGTTCGTTCGGCGCTGGCTGCGTGCCCGGCCGGTCGGCGGTGGGTCGCGACGTCTGCAGTGTAGCGCTGCTGTGGCGCCATCCCCGGCCCCCCGCCCGCCAGCGTCAGTGGCGCGGCTGACGCGCCGTGCCCTGTTCCAGGTCGCAGGTGGTGCGTGAGGGTTGCATCACGATAGCCTACCTGTCGCAGCAGCTGGGCCACCGCGTCGATCATGTCTGCCTGTCGCTGCTGCCCTACCTGATCGAGCTGATCCCAAACAGTGCTAAGGTACATACCCCGACGGCACAGCGCCCAGGTGTCCGCCGACTCTCCCAAGTCAAGCTCGACGACACGCTGCTGAGTGGTATTTATGATCTGCATCTTTATGACGCAACGCTCAGTCACGAAGGGGCAGGCTGCTCTAACTCACAACTGCTTCTTCGGTTTTGGAGAGCTACCATTCGCTTCTCATGAGCCCGGTTTGCATGGTGCCGGCCAGTCATGCGCCGTACGGCACAACTGACTGATCATACTGGCTACGGTCTAACTGTACAAGCATCTGCCTAGAGCTGCCGAGTCTGCTCGTGGCAGCCGTGGTTCCAATTTAGCAACACGGGGCGCGTGCCGCGGAGCAGGAGCCGCCAGTCCGGGCGCCTTCCCGACTCCTGAGCGGTGCTCCCCGGACCGGCTGACACTGGAGGCCCTGACGCGTGAGTCGGTGACGGGCGGCGTGTGACCGGCGGGCCGGTGTTGCCGCCAGGTGATGTCCACGTCTGGCGTGGTAGCGGTCCGCTTCATCATCCAGAACACGCACTACGCCCGGCTGATCCCGATCATCACGGGCCAGCTGACGGCTAAGTCGCGCGAGATCCGGCGCGCCTGCTGCGAGTTCCTCGAGCAGCTGGTGACCAGCTGGCCGACCCAGGCGCTGGAGCGGCACGTCGGCGTTATCCAAGAGGCGGTGCGGCGCGCCGTGGGCGACGCTGATAGCGAAGTCCGCGCCACCGGCCGCAGGTGTGCCGGTGGGCTAGCGGGAGCGGCAGCGGCAGGAGTCCCGCGGCGGCGGCAGACACGTTCAGATGCACACGGCTGCACGATACACCGGCCGCAGCGAGACAGGCAGACATGAACACAGAAGGGGGACAGGAACACATGAGTGTTGGGGACACTGTGCGGGATAAGGCGTGCGTGGCTCGCGAGTTCACGACCATGTCCTGCTGGTTGCACCGCACTTAGTGCGTGTTACCGTGTCACCATCGTTAATTTGCGAGGTTGGCGGACATCATGCCTAGGAAGTTCAGTCGTAACGTGCTGCGCCCATTTCAGAACCTTCTGGGGCTTCGCCGATCACTTCAAGGAGCAGGCGGACTCATTGCTGAACTCACTGGACAGTCAGCATAAGAAGCTGCTGGCCGGAGAGATGTCGAAGTCTAGCTCAAACAATTCCCTGACGGGCTCTTGTGAGTACCTCTGACCGACCGTTGTCCCTGAAACAGCGCCGCGTTGTTCCGTCGTCGCTGGACGCTTGCATCGCGCATGCGGGGTAGGGCCGTGCCAGCGGGTGATGAGACGACTGCTGAGACGACTGTGACGGCGTGCGATGTCGGCGGGCCAGTCCGGGCCGGCCCCGCGCGCTCCGCTGTGTGCAGGCGGTCGGCGCCGCGCCGCTCTGACCGGTGACCGGCGGCGGCGGCGGCGCTGTTGCAGCTCTGACCCGCTCGCATCACGTGCCCGCCGGCTCGCGCTCGCGCACCTCGTCGCGCGCCGGCAGCCAGGAGAACCTGAGCGGCCGCACCACCTCGCTGCCGCGCCGCACCGGCATCCCGCAGCCCAGCCCGGCCCGGCCCGACAGAGGTGAGTCTGCTGAGTCGACTGTCCGCCGACTCGAACGGCGGTGTCTCCCGCCCCTCGCCTGCGCACGGACGGCCCACCTGCCCGTCTTCTTGTCGCGTCATGGCCGGCCTCCAGCTGTGTTGCCATGTTTGGGGTGGTCGTGGCCGCGAAGAGTTTATTTGTGTCTGTGCCATCCTGGACATCGTGTTGCCGCTTGGTTGTGACATAGTTACTTGGATTACGCAGAAGCGTTAATTTTATTACGCTTCTCCATTCTATGAGAATACCGCACAGTGCGCAATTTTCAGCGCTCACAAATCTAAGCGTCCACTGCCGGCCGTTCAGGCCGTCGCTCCCGTCGCGCCCTGACCTCAACCGAGTCGGTCGGCGGTCGGTAGTCGCCCCTAGCGTTTGGCGTAGTCAAGAGCGATTGACCCTGTGTGTCGTGCGCGACCAATGGTAGCGTGTTGCGGCCGCCGCGCTAGACCGGCACGCGTAGCTGCCTGGTCCCGGCATGCCCCACCCGGCTGGCGTCTGCCCCTCTGCCTGAGTGTGAGCGTGCAGTGTGTGCCGCAGGCGAGGAGTCGGCCGGCCAGGCGGCCGGCTCGCTCCGCTCCACGTCGGCCATTGACCTGCAGGCGGCGCAGCGGGCCCGAGCGCGTGCGCAGTACGCCGCCGCTCAGCGCATGCGCATCGGATCCGGCGTCAGCCTGCGTAAGTAGTCGGCCCCGCCGGCGGTGGCGACCTCCCCGCTGTCTCCAGCCCGGCCCACTGTTTATGGCGCCTGTGTTGGGTCGACGCTGTGTGAGGGAAGGCGGCGTCGGCCGGGAAACGGATTATGTCGCCTTAAGAAATGGGACCGGATTTTGAATCCCATTAGGAAATCATCATCCGCGTGAAGTATTTTTGCTTTGTGAATACTGGCTCACGATCAAGAATGATGGAAGTTGATGGAAATTTGTCCTACTTTGATGTTGTATTACTTACGGCGGCGTGTACATTTCACCTTGGCAGTTACATGCCGAGCAGTGCGTTTACAAGGGAACTGGATACGCGATAGTTGTAGTTCGCCAGCTTTTTATTGGTCATGGCGCCACTGAGAACGTGCTCCTTGTATGGCTCTATCATTAAACATAGTCTTGATTACAGTTTGGATCGCAACAACAGTGTCCGGATCTGACTGGGATGGCCGTGTTACAAGGCCCGTTTGGAGCCGCGTTGTAAAAAGATGTATGGAGGGTCTCAAACCTGTTGGGGATGGACTCGACATTGCTCGACATTTCGACATTGCTCACTGCAGAGTGGGCTGAATAGCCTCTGCTCGCCCACGGTGCGGTCCAGCACACTGAAGTCAGTATTACAAACCTCAAATATAAGCTGAATCGTTTGTGAATCTCACGTCGTAAGCATGTTCTTCGGAAAGCTCATTTGTTCCATGATATTGGTACTTGCGTAGCCGATGAGTGAAACAGAGCTGTGAAATGCAAGTACCTTTGGAATACATGCTTGCGCGGCGGGATTTAAAAAATAATATGAAATTGCCCTTGTGCTTTTAAGTTGGCTTCAAAATTGCGTGAGATGTTCAGTGTATTTGCTAGGAACATTATTCACATAGATAAGACAGTGATGATAGCCTTATTCTTCGGCGAAAATCCAGGAGAATGGAGATATAGTTGGGCTAATATTTTGGCAGCATGCGATTGTCGAAACAAAAGCAGAAGTGAATTGAATTCACAGTGAATTCAATTCATTTCCGATAGATGGGTTGTTATTTTGCCAGCATGCCTCTATCGGAACAACAGCAGAAGTGAATACAATTCACTTCTTTGAATTGAATTCACAGTTAATTCAATTCATTTCTGCTATTGTTGCGATAAAGGCATGTTACCGACATATCAGCCTATCTATACCTCAATTATCCTGGCTTTTTCTCCGAGGGATAAGGCTATTACTGCTGTCTTGTCAAAGTTGGCTTCAGATTGTCGAAACGCTGCGCGGCCTCGCCAGCGCAGTAGTGTGGCGGTCACATGCCGCTACACTGGCGCCATCTGCTGTCGCCTATCAGCAAAAGATAGCCCAGTCTGAGCGGCTCCCGTCATCAGCTCGGTGCGGGTACAGACCTCTGTGCGGAGCGTGGCGCGCGGTGTGGGCGAGCCCCGCTGGCCGTCGCGCGTGTGTGCGAGGCCGTCCGGCGCCACCGACGCCCACTGTAACACGCTGTGTCCTGTGCCCGGGCGAGCAGCATCGGGCGACGCGGCCAACGGTACGTGCCCGGGTGTGTGCCCTGCGCCCGTCCGGCTGCACGCTGTCTGTGGTCGGTCGGAAGCCTCCGCGGCCTGGCGGGTCGCACCGGCCGCCGGCTGGCTAGTGTGATGCTCCCAGCTCTTGTTAGAGTCGTGTGGCGTGGTTGTGAGGCGATTTGGCGTCGCAATAGTTTTGTCGTGGACTGTGTTTCTTTCGCTTTGTGGCTCCTTTTTGTTTTTCTCTCCACATTGGTGTACCTTCACTGCTCGGTCGCCGCCACGCCGTGCCCAGCTGTGGTTTTGTTTCGGCTGCCCGAGGCCGTTTGGGTTGGGCCGTGGCTGCCTGGCTGCGCCGTGTCCGTGTGCTGTGCCCTGCTCGGCTTGCTCCGCGCTGACAGCGCGCCCCGCACGTGTGTCCGGCAGCGCGGCCCCGCAAGCTGGCGGCGGCCAGCCCGGCCCGCGGCCCTCCGCCGTCGGGCGCGGCCGAGTCGCCGCGCACGCCCCGCAACCGGACCCGGGGCGTGACGCAGAGCCAGCGTGAGTACGGCGGCGCGAGCCGGCGGGCGCCGCCGGACCGGCGCGGGTCTCGTCGCGGCCTGCAGCCGGCCCTCGCTCCGGCGGCGGCGGCCCTGCTCCCGGGAGCCGCCAGCCATCTCCCACTCGGCTGCAGACGTCTGCTGTGTGGTTGCTGGTATTGGAGATGGTCTGAGCGTGAGGTTTGACAAGCTTCGACTGCCCATTGGTGGTTCCATTGACTAGCGCGCCTCAGACCGCTTCGCTTTAACCAGCGACTGGCTGGGATGTTTCCAGTAGCATCACTCCTCGCGCCCAGTATAACGTTTTAACCGTTCCATGTATGTCATCAGCGTGTGCACGTGAACTGATGTACGCTGTCCACCCGCGCGTGTGCGCGCTTGCGCTGACGAAGCCCGCCTGCCATGCCGGCAGCGGGAAGTCGTAGCGGCTCGCCGTCCTCCCGCCTCAGCTACGCCACGTACACGTCCGGCCTCTCGCCGGGCGACTCGCACACGGTGGGCCGCACGCGGCGTCGCTCGGGCATCCCGCGCTCCACGGGCACCTCGCGCGAGCCGTCTCCGCACCGCACGGCGGCCGGCGCCGCCCCGGCCTCCTCGTCGGCCGGCAAGGCTCGCTCCAGGTACGCAGTGCGCCAGGGAAAGGGACGGGAGGAGGCACGCTAGGTCTCTCCGAAGCGTGCTGACTGGGGGGCCGCACGTGTGACGGGCGGGGGCGGCTGCTGGCGTCTCGCCCCGTCTCGCGTGCGGCAGGTCGGTCGCCGGGATGACACGGCTGCCGTGGCCGCAGGTCGATAGCCGGCGGCACGGAAGTGACCGCCCACGGCAAGCCGGTCACCGTGCACAAGATCCTGCTACAGAGCCGCGAGGCCGAGTCGGCGCTGGCCGACGCCCTGGTGAGTGTGCGCGCCGCTCCCGTCACTCGCGGGCGGGGTCGAGGGCGGGGGCGGCAGCCGGGTGCAGCGCTGGGTCCGGCCGCGTCCCGCGCCCGTGGCAGACTGTGGTTCGCTGCTGGACAGTTGGCGGCATGGGTGCCACTTTTCTTGATGTGAACTCTTCGTATCTTTCTGTTTCTTTTCGTAGTAGATATCGTGTAACTTTCAGCATGCCTCATTGACATCTCCATATACATGCATTTTTTAGGTCTTCTGTTTGCCCTGCACCTATTACTTCGCCAATTTTGCATGCCCGGAACGCTGTTGAAGTGTGTACATAGTTGCGTGCGAGCTGGGCGTTTGATTGTTCTAACCAAGCCTAATGGCCGTGGCCATCTGTAACGCCCGAGCGGCGCGGTGTGAGCGGCCTGGCTCCCGCCGCCATGCGCTCAGTTGGCATGTGACTGACCCGTTCGGAGGAGCCGCCTCCGGACCGCTCCGGAGTCGGCCCGTGCCATTTTAACGCGACGCCCTTTCTCCGCTCCGGCCAGTCTGATGATGACATCTTCAACGATCCATTCTCTCTCAGCGACAGCATGCTGCTCAATGTAAGTGGCGTCCTCCCCGTAACCCGGCCGTCCAGCGGCGGCCGCCCGGCGCTGCATGTGGCATGGCTTTCTCCGTCTTCTCTGGCATTGTTTGAGCGTGCTGGGAACTGGGCAATTCCAGCAGGAAAGGCAGCTGCAGGCTGTACACGGTGTGGTGGTAGCCCGCAGTATTTGCTGGGTACCTCCTGAGATGAGCAGTGTACCGGGCGGGGTCCCTTGAAGAGGCTGCTGCCGGGTCATTGGCCATTTCACTTCTTTGCAGCACTTGGATATGATATCCGAGTTATTCCAGAAGTGAGCCGCGTGCTTTGCAGCCTCGCTTCGTGTTTTCGCTTGCCTCGTCATCTTCTCCGATAACCGTCCGACGGCGGTCTGTAGCCTAGCATCAAGCGGTGCTGTCGAGGAGCGTGACGCAGCAGGCGACCCGCTCTGACTGAGCCCGTCCGGCAGGCCACCACCCGGTCCCGGCCGTACCGCTCGTTCGACGAGCACTCTGACGAGTCGGAGACGAGCAGCGTCTGTTCAGAGCGTTCTTACGACTCGGCCAACCGCCGCGACGTGAGTAGCCGGACGGCGCGGCGGGTCTGCCGCCCGCGCCGCTGTCCGCCGCCCTGCCGGCCTCTGCGGCCGGTGGTCTGCTGCGCCGCCCGCCCGCACTGCAGTGTCCGCCGGGGGCTGGTGGCTTGTCGCCCGGCGGTGCCGGCCGCGATCAGCTCCAGTCTCGATGCCCTACTGTAGCTTCATCGGTGTTTGATGCTGTTCACCGATTCCGTGTGGTGACTTGAAGCGGGAAGCCTGCGCCGGAATGAGACAGTTCCTTGCTTGACTCATTAATACGCCTGGACGGTAGCGTAAGCACCCTGCTACTTGAGCTAACACATCAATCCAGTTGCCTAACACAGCTTGCCTTGGCTGGGTCCGTGTGCCACCGTGTGCGTTTCGCGTCTGTCCGTCTGCCAGCCCCGCTGCCGGGTCTAACGCCGCCTGCTCGGTCTGACGCGCGCCTTATGTGCGCACGCGCAGTACGCCGCTGGCTGGCACAGCGGCCCGCACAGTCTCTCCTCCAACCGGCTGCGAGATGTCTGGGAGGACAGCGGAAAGGTACGTCCTGCGCCGTCGCAGTAGCTCTACTGGCGGCCAGCGGTCAGTTAACGTGCGTGGCTCTGCGGCTGGAACGTGTGGCTGTGCGCACCATGGGCGTCACGGACCGCACTCAGCGGAGAGGAGGCTGTGCGGATGTGTTGCTCTCCTCATCTGCCGTGCTGAGGGCGCCCGGCCGTCCTCGTCGAGCGTCTCGGCCGCCGGCCCTGCTGCCGGCCCGGCCTGACGCCGGCTCCACACCTCCGTCTGACGCCGCCCGGCCCGCCAGGATGTGGGCGACGTCATCAACAGCATGGCGGCTACCCAGTGGGCAGACCGCAAGGACGGCCTGCTGGCGCTGCAGGCCGTGCTGCGCTCCAACCGCATGCTGACGGCCTCCGAGCTGAAGCGCATCACAGACATCTTCACCAAGATGTTCATGGATACGCACACAAAGGTGGGTCGTCGAGAGGCGCGCTGTCCGGTGTGGTGTCCGGCAGCCCTCTGCTGCTCCCCTCCCCCTCCCCGCCGATTGTAGAGAGGCGCGTGCCGTCCGTCAGTCAGCGGTCCATCGTCACCTGTGTATGGATCCCTGACTAGCCCATATGAGACTAATGTTGTAATTTGGGTCATGTGAGCAATGGCTGTAGATCCCTGCTCGGGCGGCATCCCATTTTCGTCATTGATGGACGCAGTGGTGAATATCATCGAACTTGCATTCCTAGGTTCTGCAACTCGCTTGACGTTGCGTCGTTGACCGGTACCTTAGCTGTGGCCGCCTTCACAAAGCAAAACTATTTGTTAAAAATTTTCGCGATATGGGAGCACACAACACAAACTTGGTTGTTTTGCGGACACTTCCCGTTCATCAGTGACTTTAGTACCAAACTCTGCGTCACGCAATGACGTCACCACGAGGGACAAGCCTACCGGTGTGTTCTGCGAGCACACAGGTTACGTGGAAGGTCACCGATATTCTCAAGCTTAATCAGCTCAATGACCCTTAATGATCGTTCCAGTCCTTGAGGTCGGCTGTGAACCGCTTTCCGGGCTGGATCTGATTCTGAACACGATGTGCCAAAGTTGGGTGTTGGTTCCTTTTTCGAAATGTTAGCTGTTTTGCTACTCTTGAACACCACGTCATGATCGTCTCAGTAAAAATTCACAAACGACATGATTCACCGGTCTCAAAATTCGCCCCAAGAAGTTGAAAAAGAATGTCGCTGTAAGCTCATTATGTTCCGGGCTGGGCCCATCTGCTCTCGCGTCTCCATGCTAGGAGATGTCATGGGGACGTCCTCATGCGGGGACTATTTCTAGCCCAGTTCTTTAAGCGCCTGGCATTTTCGCCTATCTCCAACACTTACGTATTGAACATCGCCAAAGGAGCGGTCTCGTTCGATGTGCGTTGCATCCTACGTCATTTCTCATCCCACACACGTGCGTCAGTGGCCAAGGAGCCGTCGCATCCTACAACCCAAATCATCATGATCTTTGCCCCGCGCCTCATGCGAAAGCGTCGGGCACATTCATGTGACATTCTGCACATGTGACCGACCGGCGTCCAGAGGACAGCTCGGTGGCCGGGTGTGACGCGCTGCCGCTGCCGCCGCCGCCGCACCGACGCCGCTGTCCTGTGCGGCCGGCAGCCGGCCGGCGCGCTGCCGCCTACCTCTTTGTGACTGGTGTGTCTGGCTGCTCGCGGCAGGTGTTCAGTATCTTCCTGGACGCGCTGCAAGAGCTGGTGGTGCAGCACCACGCCGACCTCGGCGACTGGCTGTACGTGCTCACCACTCGGCTGCTGAACAAGCTCGGCGCCGACCTGCTCGGCTCTGTCGTGCAGAAGATCAACAAGACGCTCGACATCGTCAGGTGAGAGATGGCCGGCGCCGGACCGCCGCTCGGCTCCCAGCAGGCGCGGCTGGCTGCTCTGCCGCGGCTGCTGGCGAGGGGTGGGTGCGATCCTGCAGCTGGGGCGCGGCTGGCTGCTCTGCCGCGGCTGCTGGCGAGGGGTGGGTGCGGTCCTGCAGCTGGGACGCGGCTGGCTGCTCTGCCGCGGCTGCTGGCGAGGGGTGGGTGCGATCCTGCAGCTGGGGCGCGGCTGGCTGCTCTGCCACGGCTGCTGGCGAGGGGTGGGTGCGATCCTGCAGCTGGGGCGCGGCTGGCTGCTCTGCCGCGGCTGCTGGCGAGGGGTGGGTGCGGTCCTGCAGCTGGGGCGCGGCTGGCTGCTCTGCCGCGGCTGCTGGCGAGGGGTGGGTGCGGTCCTGCAGCTGGGCATCCCGGCACCCTCCTGCACCAGTGCCGTCCCGGCGTGCTGGGCGAGCCTCCGACTGTGCCAGGGGCTGGTGTCCCGCTGTACCCTGGTCCCGCTTGACGGGGCTCTGACCACATGAGGCGGCTGGAGGCGTGCTGTGCTGCGCTCCGGCGATCTGACGTGCAATTTTGTCTCGGCCAGGGCGTCGTTCCCACATGACCAGCAGCTGCACTGCATCTGCCGCTTCCTGCTGGACCAGACGCAGACGCCCAACACCAAGGTTAAGATCGCCACGCTGCGCTACGTGCGCGCTCTGCTCGAGGCCATGGAGCCAGCCGAGTTCTCCTCGGGCGACGCTGACCTGCCCCTGGCCGTCACCAAGGTACGTTTGGCTTAGACCTGCTGTTGGCCGTCGCCAGGGTATGTCTGACCGAGACCTTCCGCTGGCCGTCACCAAGGTACGTGTGGCCGAGACCTGTCACTGGGTGTCACCAAGGTACGCCCTGCTCAATCCTGGTGTTTTGGTAGGGTTTTCCACGGGCTCCAGGCCGTGATATGGCCGCAGCGGAGGTGATTCCGTCTTGTGCGTCCTTAGCGGGCTATTGGCACCACGCCAACTAGTGCCTGGGCTACTGTAAAGACTCCGGAAGAAATGTCGACAAATGAAGAGCTCTGATATGCACAATGTGTGTGTGTAAAGCTCTTGCGATAGGCCACCAAAATCCGCAATGAAGATGAAATGGCATGTTTGACTGCCTTGATGCGGATGTTTTTTGTTGTTTTTTTGCGCACCGTCAGCTAGGATTATATTACGATATCTCTTGTGGGTGTTAGGGCTCGTGTGGGCCGTAAAGTAGCGTCAGCACGAGCCTCAGTGGACGTGTCGATCAGGGCGCTGTGGCACACCAGCCCGATGTTTTCGCTTCGCCTGACCCGGTGGCGCGCCACCCTTCGCCAGGTGATCGGCTGGACCAGCGATCAGAAGTCAGTGGAGATCCGCAACTCGGCCAAGGCGGTGGTGGTCGCCATGTTCGGCGTCAACACGCCCGAGTTCACCCGCTTGCTCTCCCAGCTGTCCAAGCTGTACCAGGTGGGCGGGTGGGCGCCCGCCGCCGGTTGACGCCGGTGGGGCGCGGCCGTGTGCCCTGCCCCGCTCCTCCAGCAGGCGGCGCGCTCTGTCGCTCCGCTCTTCGCACATCCGCTGTTTGGCGTACTGTCCGAGGGCAGGCTATGCTAGCAACTGTCGGCTTGTTTGGCCAGCTGGTGGCTTGTTGGCACCGCGTGCCGACTGTGGGGCCGGCCGGCTGCGTCGGCCGGGGCGGCGTCTGACGGTGCGCGTGCGCCGGCCGCCAGGACACGGCGACGGAGGTGATGCAGCAGCACCTGCGGCGGCGCGCCAGCATCGACCAGTCGGCGGCGCTGATGCGTGCCCGCTCACCGGGATCGCCGATGACGCCGTCCAACGGCGGCGGCGGCACGTTCCCGCGCGCTGGCGGGCCGCGCTCGCTGACACGGCTGCGCAGCGACCCCGACGATACGGAAAACCTCAACCCCGAGGAGCTGTACAGGTGCGGCGGCCGGGACGGCCGACGGCCGGAGAATCTGACCCCGAGCCCGCTCATGAGACGCGATGAGCCTGTCGTATTTTGGTTGTAGCAAGTTACTGCAGGCCTTAAAGTTATGTTCGCAAAAGCGACAGCTCGGTTAGCGCCAGCCGATCGAAGACTGGCTAACTGACTGAAGGCTGCCTGAGTTTCCGCCCGCTGGCGAAATCCACAGTTTCTGTGTTCATTGATTGGAACAAAAGTTAAGTGGTTCCATTGCGATCTCATTGGTGACGTAAGCGGAGTAGTGTATGATGGCACCCATTTGTGCTGGTACGGTAAGATACAAATAGGTAAGAAAGTATGTAGGTCAACTGGAGCGCATGGTGGAAACTGTTTGGAAACGCACGAAGGCGCAGTTCCTGGCATTCACTCGGGGCTTTTTGTTTAGTTCCAAACGCAAACGATCATTTGCTGGTTCCGTGCGGGTGAGCGTTGATTGCTTTTGCCACGCGGATGCATACCACGAAGTTTCTGGAGCTTGTGTCGACGCCTACGTTTGCTATCGCTAAAACTACACGAACAGAGGAACCATTTTAACGTCGACAATTTACATCGATCCCCCCCCCCCTCGCCCTCTCGCCGCCAAATTCGCAGCCGTTTGTACAGCTTCACCGTGGCAGCCCGGCGCGGCAGTGTAGGCAGTATGCTCATAAGATCGCGCTCGCAGCGAAACCTACCGGCCGCATTTAGAGCCGTCAGCTGGTGGCCTCTGTCAGCTGTTGGTGTCGGACGTCAAACCGCTGCCAATATGCGTCTGAAAACTGACTTTCTTCTTGCCGCGCAGCTGTTCCGGTGTCTTGCGTTCTCCAGTTATGCTTTGGGCAGTAAACAGATGTTACACAAGGTACAGGTTGACAAATACTACATTTTTGCGGAGTGCGCCGAGCTGACGTCCTTCTGCAGTACCCTGTGAACCAGCGGCCTCCAGAGTCGGTCCGGCTAGACTTCCTGCGGACGTGGTCCGGTTTTCGCGGAGTGCGCCGAGCTGACGTCCTTCTACAGTTCTACGTCCTTTCCTGTGAACTAGCGGCGTCCAGAGTCGGTCCGGCTAGACTGCATGAACGTGAATGTCCCGGGACGGAGCATTCATGGTCTCGGGACGGGGACATCCCGCCCCGTTGGGTTTCTTTTCCTGCGCACGTGGTCCGGTTTTTTGTCCTAGGAATGAGTTGACATTGAATTACGCATTTAATAGTTCTTGTTTAACATGCTCCTGTGCAGCTCCCCGCAGATATATGCATGCTCTTGTGAAGTTCCCCGCAGGTATTGGCATGCCTTGTTTAGTTCCTCGCAGGTATCGGCACGCTCTTGTTTGGTTCTCCGCAGGTACGGCATGCTCTTGTGTAGTTCCCTGTAGGTACGGCATGCTCTTGTGTAGTTCCCTGCAGGTATGAGCACGCTCTTGTTTAGTTCCCCGCAGGTATTTGCTCGGTTTGTCCCGGCATTACATTTTTTTACTGTTTACGTTGCTATTTACTACGAACATGGATAGCCAGAAATAAGTTCTTACGTTTTGACGGTCAGCAGCCCGCTTGTCACATCAAGAGTTCAGAATGTGCATTGATGACATCTGCAGGTCGACTGTTGTTTCCTCTCCAGCCGGCAGAACATTCGCAATGGGAAGTCTTGGATGGCGCACACCGGAGTGTAGTTTTATAGTAAAACACGTACACTCTTGCTTATGCATATCCTAGCGCACCGAAATACGGCAGGCTTATCGCGTTGGAAAATAGGTGTGTCAAGACAGCGTATCATATAGGCGTGAACGCGCGATGCGGAAAAGCTCCACCCCGAGAGGCTGAGGAGGAGCTGGGACAAATGGCCTGATCCAAAGAGATGAAACCCAGCAGGTAGCGTACCAGACGGTCTAGCATTGTCTGCAATGCCTGAGAAATGCGGCTTCTATGAAAGGAGATCGACTGGGTGATGTGATGGCCTGGTGAGGTCTCAGATGGCTTGAAATGTGGTGGTCTTAGCAATGCCTTGTTCGTTTTCAGCCATGCCGAGCTGATCAGCGTGGATGGCTCTATCACGCATTAAGCCGTCTTGCATTGCCTTTGGGTGCATTTTGTGATGATCACCGTGTATGGCTTCACATAAACTATCTTACGTCTGTGTCTCTCCCCGCCTTCATGTTTAGCGATGGGCTTCAAACGTTAGGTTCCGGGTGAGTCACTACGTCACCTTGTTTTGTGTCCGTGCTTCTAAGCTGTCAGTAACTCCGTAACCATGGTCTTCGGTGTTGAACAACACAGTTGCCTAGTTCCTTGTGCTGCGAATGGTCATGGGATGTCCGCGTTGCTTTGTTATGTTGACAGAAGGCAATGATGAGTGCGCATTCGCCTTATAGCGCCAGCAGCCCGATCAGCCCGCATTAGCCTTCGTGCGCCATACAATGTTCGCTTGCAAGCATCGCTGCGTACGCCTGGGCCCCGGCACCGTGGTGGCGTGCAGTCTGTCCAACATGGCTGGTTCACGGTGGGCGGGATAGCGAAGCGGGAGGGGAGCGGGCGTGCGCGGGGCCGATGGCGGCCGCGGCGCCGGCGCTGACGCCGCGCCGCCCGCCGCGCAGGTCACTGCGCCGCACCACGGCCGAGATCCAGAACTACAGCTTCGACGGCCGCGACGGCGGCCCGAAGCCGGAGTCGGAGCCGGAGCGCGACTCCACCTCGCAGGACTCGGGCATCAGCCAGATGTCGCTGGCGCTGGACCGGGCCGAGCCGGAGCGGCGCGACGAGACGCGCTCGCCAGCGCGGCCGCGCGCCGTCGGCGAGGCGGCCGCCGCCGACGAACTGCCGGCCGAGCCGCTTGGCGACGAGCACGAGCTGGTGATGGCCGTGCTGGCCGAGCTGAACGCCGTGCAGCCGGACCGGTGCACACCCGAGCGCCGCGCCGCGCTGCTCTCGGTCTGCCGGCTGGCCAAGCTCGGCTCGGCGCAGCTCTGGAGCGAGCACTTCAGGTCGGCATCGGCTGCCGGCCGCCCAGGCGCTCTGCCTCGCCCAGTGTTACCTGGCTCTGTCTCACCCAGCGGTCCCCGGCTCTGTCTCACCCATTGTTACCCGGCTCTGCCTCGCCCAGTCATCCCGGGCTCTGTCTCACCCAGTGTTACCCGGCTCTGTCTCACCCAGTGGTCCCCGGCCCTGTCTCACCCAATGTTACCCGACTCTGTCTCACCCAGTGGTCCCCGGCTCTATCCCACCCAGTGTTACCCAGTTCTGTCTCACCCAGTGGTCCCCGGCTCTGTCTCGCCCAATGTTACCCGGCTCTGTCTCACCCAGTGGTCCCCGGCTCTGTCTCACCCAGTGTTACCCAGCTCTGTCCCATACATTGGTCCCCGACTCTGTCTCATCCAGTGGTCCCCGACTCTGTCTCATCCAGTGGTCCCCGGCTCTGTCTCACCCAGTTATACCCGGCTCTGCATCATCCAGCGATCCCAGTGTTACCCGGCTTTGTCTCACCCGGTGTTACCCGGCTCCGTCTCACCCAGTCATCCCCGGCTCTGTCTCACCCAGTGTTACCCGGCTCTGTCTCACCCAGTGTTACCCGGCTCTGTCCCATCCATTGGTCCCCGACTCTGTCCCACCCAGTGTTACCCGGCTCTGTCTCACCCAGTGGTCCGCGGCTCTGTCTCACCCAGTGGTCCCCGGCTCTGTCTCACCCAGTGTTACCCGGCTCTGTCTCACCCAGTGGTCCCCGGCTCTGTCTCACCCAGTGTTACCCGGCTCTGTCCCATCCATTGGTCCCCGACTCTGTCTCAACCAGTGTTACCCGGTCTCACCCAGTGGTTCCCGGCTCTGTCTCACCCAGTGTTACCCAGCTCTGTCTCGTCCAGTGGTCCCCGTCTCTGTCCCACCTCGTGTTACACGGCTCTGCATCATCCAGTGATCCCCGGCTCCGTCTCACCCAGTGGTCCCCGGCTTTGTCTCATCCAGTGGTCCCCGGCTTTGTCTCATCCAGTGGTATCGAGCCCCGTCCCACTCATGGTTTCCATGCACTATGCCGTGCACCGCGTTGCATACAGTCAAGCCTTGGCCCCCAGTTATATCGCACAGTAGCCTCCGGTTCTGTCCCAATGTATGTTTCAACCAGGAACTCGCTTTACCGCCTGTCATAATTGGTTGGTATATATACGTGTGTTCATATTTTCGTTCGTTGTTTGACATCGCAAGTGCAATCAGGACATTCTGGGCCCCCATTCGTTCCGCCTCGGTTGCGCGCGCCGGCCTGGCTGGCGGGCCGTGGCGGCCTTGGCCGTCTCTGACGGACGCCACCGGTCGTGCCAGGACGCTGCTGCGCCTGCTGCTGGACAACCTGCGCGACGGCGCCGGCCCCGTGCGCGAGCTGGTGCTGGCCGCCCTCACCGAGATGTTGCGCCGCGACTGCATCACGCCGCTCTTCCACCCGTTCATCGAGCTGATTTTCCTGCGCGTGCTGGACGCGCACCGCGAGCCGAGCGAGCGGGACGTGGTGCGCGCCGCCGAGCAGTGCGCCGCCGTGCTGGCTGGCCGCCTGCCGCCCGACAGCGTGGTGCGCGTGCTCAACCCGCTAATCCAGACGGGCGAGTACCCGGTCAATCAGGCGGCCATCAAGACGCTGACGCGGCTGATGGAGCAGCACAGTCGGCAGCTGGTGGCCGGCTGCCTGTCCGAGATCATGCCCAGCCTCCTCAAGGTGAGCCTGCCGCGCCGCGCCGCGCCTCCCGCAGACAGCTGCCAGACACCGGCACCGGGCCGGCGCGCTGCTGCAGGACAACAGCCACAACGGTGTGCAACGTCAAAGGTTTGGGTGCATTTCAGTGCCGAATCTTGCGGAACCAAACTAGGGCCAGAAAATATGGTAGGGCCTGTGAATAGTTTTCAAGGATGGGTGAAGAGATACAACCGTACTGGGACAGCAGTAGTGAAGCATTAGCTTGTGGTGAAAGTACTAGTAAACATTGGCTTGTGAAACCTAACCTGTAACGCTAGTGAAACTATCAAGGAAGTTGGGCCGCATACACTAGTAGCTATCATGCAATCATGTGGCAAGATGCTAGCACCAGCGAGGTATTTTTCATAAAATGTTGCTGGAAAGAAAGGTAATATCGTCGATACCGCAGAGTTTCCAGGACTCGGAACGTGGTCTAAATTTTTGGGCGGGCGAGGGGTAACGTTTCCACCAACAGGAGTTGCTTATCTGCCAACTTAGCCTTCGTGTGACCAAACTTATTTTTAGATCAGCTGCCTTTTTGTGATGTGTGTTTCCGTATCCGTGACGCCTATATATTCCAATTTTGTTTAAGGTAGGTTCTAATGTATCTTTAACCTGTGGGATGCATATATACCTATCGAGGATACGTTGTTATTTCTAAGAAGTGTGTACAACTGGCCGAATGTGAGCACGCATGGATGCGCGGCCACTGGTACCTGGAGGATCGTCCGTTTTCAGACATGATGTCCAGAGAGCTGTGGCATGTACCATAAAAACTATTAGGTTATATTTTGGGTTAGGGTTATTTTTGGTTGAGGTGTGAAAATGGCAATGAGTTTGGCCGTCCAAAATATGACGTAAGGTTCTGCACCAAACTAAGAGTGAGCTTCAAGCTGCTCCGGCTCTTGTGTGCTTAAGGCTGTTACCACCGAATGAGCGCGGACTATGTGCAGTACGTGTCTGGCCTTGTTCACGCCGTGGCTGCACGTGCCGTGCCGTGACGGTGACTGTCCGTGGTGGCTTCAGGCGTATGACAACAGCGAGTCGTCGGTGCGGAAGGCGGCCGTCTTCTGCATGGTCACTATCCACACGCTGTGCGGCGAGGAGGTGATGCAGCCGCACCTGGCCACGCTCAACGCCACCAAGCTGAAGCTCCTCAACCTGTACATCAAGCGGGCGCAGGCTCAGAGTGGCCCAGGCACGCCGCGCACCAACCCTGGCTCGCCCAAGTAGCGGGCCCGCCGGTCGGCTGTGCTGCAGGCCCCGGCGCTCGGCGCGGACAGCAGCCAGTGCGCTCGCCCGCCCACCCGCGTGCCAGCTGCGTGATGGCGCCGGCTCTCGGCCGCTGAGCGGGACTCAGTTTTCCATTTTTGTTATTTGCCATAATAGTGCGCGCGGGGACGCTAACGGCGGTGAGTGGGGTGCTAGTCACACTTAGGTGAGGGAGGCAGAGCGGACCGCGCGGCGCCCGTCTGAGATTAACGTGTACTAAACCGGCCGGCCGTCGCGTGCGCGCCGAGCAGTGGCCAGAGCGCGCGACGGTGCGCGGCCGTCCCCGCCGCCGACGCCGCAGTGCGCGCCGAGCAGTGGCCAGAGCGCCGGTCGTCTGGCGCGCGCCGGTGTGCGGCCGTCCCCGCCGCCGACGCCGCAGTGCGCCGCGCCAATCGTGAGGGCGACGCCCCCAGAGACTGATCAAGCTTCTTTGCCGAGAGAAATCTGTGATGCCGCTGCTTGTACGGGCGGGACAGCTGTGTAATTATTTTATTGTGTATTCACGACCTAGAAATAAACGTCTACATAGGACTCGCTCATGGCCTCTAACGTGAATGCGGTGACAGCCCGGCAGCCTGCTACAGCCGTGTGACGTCAGCATACAACGCTCAACAGCTGGTCCAGGAGCTGATCCACTACCTTGGGTCCTGGGTGAAAGGTGTCGTTGAAGCACCTATGCACCGTGCCTGGATCTTCGAGTTCGTTGCTCCGCCGGCAGGTGTCTGTGTAAAACTTAATGACGTGCGGCATGTGAGACGTCCAGATGTGCAGGTTTGGGATCTGCAAACGCGGGAAAACTTATCACCGTGAGGCTGGTGCCGGATGCTAGCCACTTTTTCAGAGGGAATGTGAAAGCGTTGAAGATATTGAAGGAAACGCCATATATGATTAACTATGCTCACTTATAATCAGCGGTATACTTTTAAGAGGAAGGCTGTCACAGTCAACACAGTTTCTCTGTTGAGTAAATATGCTCCTCAACGCCTCGATGCTTGATTGCGTCATTGGACCTTGCATAACGCTGGTTGAGAGCCAATTGGCGACCATTATATCTGGAAATCCCGCTCACGAACACCAGATGTGAACGACTCGTCAAACATCTTTTTCTTGGTAATCGACGCATGGCTTAGAGAACGGCAAGATTCGAATGCCATTATAGCGTCATGGATGCCTGGGCGACCTTAAAATAGTAACCCTGGAATAGTCGGCACATCTTCGCGGAGCGTGTAGCTCAAAATACTGCGGGGCTTTAGGTTTTCAGGACAGGGCTGTGAACTGCGTGGAATGATCTCCAAGATGGTTGTTGCTGTCAAAAGAACCATAGAAATGTGAAACGCTCCCTATAGCGCGTAGCTCTCAGCAAGGTGTGAAACGGCATCGAACACTACCATGCAATATGTACGAGCCCGGTCGGTACGATGGAGCAATAGTGCAGTATGAGGCCAGAGGCCACGGCAGCTCGCTTGCACATCCTGCACATCATGCAACGACTCCGATGTGCAGGCGGGAGGCCCGTGCTGGATTTCTGGCAGGTGTCATGGCCGCCGGCCGTCAAGACGTCCGCTAATGCGTGACGTTTCGTGAGAGGGTCGCGCGGCGGCATGATCAGATGAAGGCTTCAGATGTGAAAATACGTCGCGGGGAGAGCGAGGTAAACTATGCCACGGCGTCCCAGCTAGTGCGCGGTTCTGGCTTGGTCGTGCCCTCTGCAGGATCTCCGCGTCTGGGTCAGAAGGCTTCGGCCGCCTCTCACCGGCGAGAGCAGCTGCGTCAGGAGCGCATTGTGCGCCAGCACGGCCGCGCCGGCGCCCAGGTCGTACTTGGCGCGGGCCCGCAGCCGGTTGGCCGGGTAGTCGAGTAGCAGGACGACTGTACTCTCCGTGGCGGCCAGCCGGAGCAGCGGCGGCACCACGTGCTGCCGCAGCCGGGCCGCCAGCCGCTGCGGCGCCGTCCGGAACGACTGGTCCCGCACAGCGTCCCTCAGGCCGATGGCTGCGCACGGTTGGACGGCGCGGTTACAGTGAGGGCCACCGGGCTGGGTGCATTCAAGCAGTTGGCCGCTGGATCAAGCTGTCGAAGCTGCCAGACGTGAATAGTGGCGGCTACAGATGAAATAAAGTGCGAAGAAAGTGATACTGAAAACCGAATGATTATCCATGACCCCAAAATAGAGACTTAACGCGTGTCGTGTGGCTCTTCCAGGGACTTGCTTAGGTCACAAGAAAACGGCTGGCGCCAACGGTCATCCCCCAATCCGCCCAACTTGGCATCCCGAAGTACATTTCGTGCCAGAGAGACCACCGGACCTCGCCTCACCCAGCACGAGCATGTCGGGTGTGAGTCCGGGCCGGGCCGCGTCCCACAGCAGCTGGCCCAGGTGGCGGTTGACGCGGTCGCGCCAACGCATGTCCAGCCGGAGGCCGGCGGCGTCCGCCGCCCAGCTGCAGGCAGGCTGCCGGCCCGGGCGCCGGAACACCTCCACGCAGGTGTCGGCTGTGCCGAGCGGCCAGCCGGCGGCGCCCGGCGCCGGCTGCCCCCCGTACGGCGGTCCATGGGCGGGCGCGGCGCGCGGCCGCAGCCGGCCGGCAGAGCGGGCCAGTGCTGCCCAGAAGAGCTGCCAGACGCGCGAGTGGCCGGCCAGCAGCAGCTGCAGCGGCCGCCGTCGGCCGGCCAGGCAGCGGCGCAGCTCGGCGCCGGAGAGGGCTACCGCTGGCGTGCCGAGTGTCGCTGAGAGGCGAAGACGCCGCAGGGCCACGCACCGATCTGCTGACGGGGATGGCTAACAGTAACGAGACGCCTCTCTAACAGCAGCGGCCGGGGCGGTGTTTGGGGGGCCATGCCCCTCCCCCTCCCCCTCCGGAGGTGACGGAGGCCCGGTACGTTTTGGCAGTTTGACACCCGTAGGGCTTTAAAAAACAAAAAGCAGTCTCTCAGACATCGAGTGGATCCCGTGGCCTGCAAAGATCCCCCGAATCAAATAACAGCGTCCACCTAGGAACGGAAAGAGGCTTCTTGGCTGGATGAGTCCTTTATTACCCGATTTGTTCCGCTCCTAGACAAAACTCTCTCTATGCCACTGGTTGACCGAGACGGTGAACAGTGACGAATCGGATTCATGAAATACGAATGCATAAACATTCCAAAAAAATCGCGGCCCTCTGCCCCGCCGGTTTTTTAATATGCCCGGGGACGGAAATTTTTTATATATCATGTCGGGCCGGGTTCAGACCCTGTCTTTAGTTCAAATAAAAATTTTGCTATAACAAAAGAATTCACCAATATTGTTCGATTCAAATACATCACATCACCAATGACCATTGTCACTCCAGAACAGTTACGGGTGAAGCAAACATCATGCAACGAGGCTGTGCATGATGCTATGATGCCGGGCACATGTATACAAAACGTTTCAAGGTGCGTAATGAACAGGAAAATACGCAAAATTGCAAGGTTGTATCTAGTTGCGTTGTAAAGCTCCTGAACAACACGTCGGTGAAAGTGGTGATGGCACGTCACAGGAATTGACAAGAGCGTACGCAGAGAGCAGCCGTACCTGGTTTAAGGATTTTACATTGTTGTTCGTAAAGTGCGACTCAATATCAGTTTTTAACTTTTCCTTAAAAATGTGTGATATCCATAGGTTGCAAGCACGTGATGTTTCAATCACCTAGTCTGGTTTTTACTCTCGGCAGGGAAGACAAAAACATTGAATGTGTTCGGACAGTGTAGGGCAGTGTCCTAGAGTTGCCGACTTTGGGTGTAAAGCAACACCCTATGAGGCGGAATTTTTCACTCCTTTTCCCCATATTTTATGTGAATTTTTCACTCCTGCCTGACATTGTCTAATCGCACATGCCAAACCCCTATTTCCCTTTTTGAGGTTTTCGGACGTCATCCAAAGCCGAGCTCACTTGAAACCACCAAGCATAAACGAGGCTCCGCAGAACCTGGACTCCTATGGCTATGTCCTACCTCACCTACATCTGAATCATGTCTATGTATCCACAGAGCAAGGGCACCAGGTACCTCCAAACCCAAGAACCCGAGCGACCCCACCCGCTTGCACACATTACGTTTGGTTTGTTTACAAAATGTATGGCAATCTGCAGCTGTGCGCCAAATGCAAGGTTTTCGCGCATCCCCCACTGTTTTGGTCTCACCACTACATCACGAAAGCAGAGGCTGGTGCAAACACCAGCAAGGCCTGGTAGGGAATTTTACTCCACGTACTTCTTTCTTCCCGAAGAAACTTGACTACTAAATCGCATCGTTCCCGAAACGCAAGAGAGAAAAGTTCAAGAAATGTCTTTTAATATAAACTTACAACATGAATGTCACCATCTGAGCACTTATATTAACAGATTTTAAGTCAAATCAGCTGATTACAAAAATTTGCGAGAAAAGTACCAGTATTTATATTTATTTAGCTGCTTTTGTTTTTCTTGGCATCCTACCAGTGTGATACCATTTTATTCTTCCCTCCTTTTCGATTGCCTTTAGAAGTACCATCTGCTGCTTAAAATGTTGACCAATTTCTCTGCACAGAGCTCAAATTGCAAGCTTGTACGCATTTCATGCATAAATTGGATAAATTTGCCGGCCGCCCAAACATGTTTGATATGCACCCCAGCGTGAACAATTCACAGTGAATGAAGGAGACAATTTGAACCACGGAACTTATTTTTGCCGCCATTTTTACCCGCTTAAACCTTCGGTTAACCGTTTTCTTGGTTCATAGCGGTGCTCAATAAGGATAAATCCAAGCTTTTCGAGTTTCTGACTTACCATGCTACCTGGCAAGGCTCAAAATAGCCTTGCGTAATGCTGCCTCTGTATGGCATCATTAGAACATGCTGCCATACGGAGCCTTGGGACAGACCTGACGCAGCTAATACAGAAGTGTTTGATGGCGAAATTCTGCCCTGTGAAGATGTTGATCATGCGCACCTCTTACTTGTTTCGCATTTTAATCTCGAAGGTTGGTGGGCATGATTGATATTTATATTTAGGGGGTGAGTCGGATGACTCGGTCTGCCAGCAGACCATGCAAAAGGTGCTGAATTTTGGTTTTTTGGGGAGCAGGAAGAAGCCGGTAAGTCCCCTGTGGACCAAGTAATTGCTTACCTTGCCTGCTTTCAGCACATGATTGGTAACCAGAGTTAGCCATTTTCTGTTTTAATGCATCGAGTTTTGCCATAAGACAAATTACGATGCCTCAAGGCATGCAATTGGCTTATTTTGTTCCATAGTCTTGGTTATTTGCCCCAAATTTCTTACAGTGGTCCCTCATGGCTACTTTAACCAGAGGTTTTCTATAGGTGTTATGGTTTGCTGACTGGCAAATGACTGTACTGTATATATGTACTATATTTTTAACACAGGGATACTCTAAGCTGCATAGCAATTATGAGTTAAATATTGCTATGTAACAAATAGTCAGACCACCCCATTTGAAATGTGAAGCCAACATCTCAAACTTTGTCATTAAATATGAATAAACAAGCCCAAGTGGATGTATTTGCTGCAGCTGGAAAGGCAAGTAGCAATTCTGGCATGGTCATCTAAAATTTATGCTATTTTTGGAAAAGAGAGATTGTTTTGTAGAGCATACCCATTTTCCCCTTGACATAGGCTAACCATGACAATCAAAATACATTGTTCAAAGTGATTTAAAGCGTTTTAATTTGCATATTGTCAGCCTGGTCTGATGTCAACAAGCATGGAAAAATGAACGGAATAAAAATGCAAGTTGAAACCAGCCAAAAACTAGCTTTAAATGAGATGTTTTTATCACAAGTGCTGCTGTCAACAGATAGGTGAGCTGAGATAATGTCCATCATATGGGCTACTCTAAGCTAGGTTAAGTTGGTCAAGTGCATGGCAAGTGGCAACAGGAATTGTACAAGAATCAGTAACTCACAACTGCTGCTGTGATGCAAACAGGTTATACAGGATGAGATGATGTAAGGCCTCTTTAGGTTAGGCATAGGCTACTTTCATGGAAATAAGCATTGGTATTGTGTAAGAAACGGTGACAAAATGCTTGTTTTCCCTGACCCCACCTTAACAGAAGCCAGAATTATGTATATTGTGTTTGACTTGGTGCTGGACTGATGTGTAGGAGTCCGATGTGTTTTTGTTTGAGTGTTTTATGCTTGTTGACTTTTCTGTTGTTACATTGTTGTTGAATTTGCTTTGCCTTGCTTTGTTTTGTTTTAAAAGTGCTGTGGAAGGGAATTGAAAGGTGCAGCATCAAATTATTAGTGTTAGTAATTTGTTATGCTCATAATACTGTCATGAAATTACTATGCTGTAACACGCGCCCGGTTGGCCAGCTAGATACCCTTCGCTCGGGGGTGGGGCGGGGGGTTATTTGATCCCCCCTCTGAGATCTCGGGAACTAAGAAAGCTATAGACACCAAATTTACAGGGTGTCTTGACTTTTACGTGAACTCACTTAGGTTAGGGTTCCAGCTTCCTAGGTCATGACCTTCAGGTCAAATAAGGTCAAACAAGGTCAAATTCCAGGATGGTCTCCAAAGCGCCCCCAGAATCTAGGCAACTGTCTCTAAGCAAAAGGTCACAAGCCCTTTTGAGGTCATTGACCTTGTTTGAACCTTCGAAGGCCATAGTGACCAAAAAGATACAGGACTGCTCTGCGTTTTCATTTCAATAAGCGACAAAGATTACGCTATGCAGTATGTTCCTAAAACAAAACGTTCGACCCGGGTCGTCTTAGGTCAATGGCCTGTTCCGACCTCTACGAAGTCAATTGAAAATGTATAATGCGGTTCCTGCTGTCAGTAAATTCGAAATGAGCACCAGAAACTATCCCATACAGCAAGCCCTAAAGAAATAAATCATGTTGGTTTTGGCCTTGGTCTGACCATCATACCCGACCTCAGGTCAACGTAATTTGTTCATTCAATATTTGCGGTGCCTAAGAGAGCATCTCAGATGTTTATGTATTCGTTAAACAATCCGTTGTTGCATCAGATTAAACGTTTCCCTAGAAATTGCCTTCGCTGAAACCATGGGCTGACTTTGACCTGTCATAGGTCAGCGATATTACAAGATACATCTAGAATTGGTATTCAAACGATCTGCTATGCAATTTTCTACAGCTTTGCAAAATGTGGTGCTGCTACGCCGCGCTGTTCAAAGACCATTCGGGAAAAGCCCTGGGGGGGGGGCGATTTGCCCCCCCCCCCCACCCGAGCGCGTGTTAATGTATTCTGTTTCACTTTAATGGACTAAGATGTTAAAGGACGAAATATTTTTGTCAGGTTTCTGATATTACGTCCATGCCAACCTGAAATAGATGTCTTTGTTTGCTGAAGCATCCGTCACGAGCTCATAACTTCCGTCTTTTGTGAATTTATTTTTTCACTCCCGCACAGCCTTGTTGCGATGGAGTTTTTCACTCCCACCCTAGTTTAAAAGCGATTCTAGCTCTCTGGTGTA